TAATAATAATAATAATAATAATAATAATAATAATAATAATAATAATACAAAATAATACAAAAAAACATCCTACTTGGAACAGCTTATATCCTCTGATGCTACCTTAACAGTTCCTAGGTCCTTGGTTAGGACTCGAGCTGTTGAGCTACCAACCAGCCCCAAAGGCTGTGAATCTCACCAAAGATTAACCACAATAATAATAATTTATTCAGAATGGCAATTTATTTCTGCAGTCCATTAAGTTAGAACTTTATCTGTTCATTCTCTGGAAAGTATTGCTTTGTTTATCCATATGATAATCACAAAAAATAATATACAGCAGGGTTGGATGCATGCTCCATATTATTGCATTTGACTGAGACCAATAAATAATATTTTGGAAAGCAACACAAACATCACCACAAAATATTTATTAAAGAATTTATATTCTTTCTTTAACTTGAAAAATGGAGATGGTTTACACTAAAGGCAGTTAGTCTGGGTCTCCCCACTTCTATTTTTGTGGCTGCTTTGCATCATCAAAATTCAGCAAGATTGCTGACATTTGGTAGAGCAATTTAAAAAAATGGAATGGCTAAAAGAAATGAATTGATTTAATGCATATATTTTGATTTTAGAATCTTCTCAACAGCTGAAAATGTCATCCCTGCTGATGCATTGCTGAAATGTTCCATGCATCTTTTGGAAACCTACTAATAAAAACAAGTGGGATCTCCAGCCACAAAACGTTTGGCTATCCTTAGTTATACAGTTACCCAAATCAAATGAAATAATCTAATCAAGACATAGGACTTAAAATAATACAGCCTAGAAGAAAACAAATTAAAGATGAATGTTCAGAGAAATAAGATATTCAGATTAGTTTTCCAAGGCAATTCTACTCCTCACCTTCATTCTCTATTAACAGATAAATCCTCATATCATTGACATCTTCTTCCATTGGATGATAGCTTACATATATGGAAGTTCCTCCCGATTCTAGTTTGAATCTGCTTTATTGAAATTTTAACAGTTTTTTCTAGTCATGTCCCTTGGGGCAATAGATAATATGTTCCCATCTTTCTCTCTGTAACATATTCTTCATCAGCTATTGGAAGACTTCAATCATATTTCACCTTGGTCACCATTTCTAAAGACTAAGCATATCCTGTCTCTCATAGAGTTTCATTTCTGAATTCTACTACCATCTGGGTGGGTCTCCTTGCTCCATATTGTCATTCTACTTTTAGAACTGTATACACCGGGGAGTCTGATCAGGCCACAGCAAAGTAGAATAATAATTGCCTGTCACCTTGTCAATTGGAGAGGGGAAGTCCCTCAAATAATCCAATCCCATGCCATGGAGGGCTTCAAAGATGATGTCCAGCATAGAACATAGGTCTACGCAGAAAAGGAGCTGCTATCGGTTTCTCTAAAAGGGTGGGCTGGATATAGTGAAGAAGACCATTTATATTGAAAATTCTGTATTTAAGAATAGTCAATAAATGAGAAATTATAAAGATCTGTTTTATTGCTTGTGTTATTAATTACTTCATATTAATTATTTCGTATTTATTTATTATGTTTTCTGTTCTGGAACAGCTGGATCAACAATGATTAGAAAAGGCAAAATGTGTGACACGTTTGAATTGTGATGTGGCATCCCATAAAATATGTAATGTTGAATTTGGGAATCATATTTGATAGTATGTAATGAGACTAAAAGGAAAGATTTTTGTGCATTAATGAAAGCTGAGTGAAAATAAATCATGTTGTAGAGAGCTATTTTGAAGATATCTGAATTTGTAATGGAAGAGTTTCAGAAGATTATATAGACCATTGAAATTATATAGACTACTGATTGCTGCTGCAAGCAAAGATATATGTATGTAAAGATCTTTCTCCTAGGATACAGCAATAGCTGTAAACAGTATGATGAACTTCACAATTTTTCAAAGAATCATAGTGTTACTTGCTATCAATTTTGCCATTTAAAGTTTCCCCAGGCAGCAGAAATTAGCAGTGTTCAAGAACACAAGTCCATATTGTTTCTGTGTAACAATCAAGGAGGAAAGATACTAATTTCCTCAGCATTTGTAACAGAAGGAGGCAACATGAAAAGGAAAACAGCTAGTAATGAGATATTTATTGTTCATAAACTTTAATGAGCAGTGATGCTGCTGGGCTGATGATAGATACAAACACTGTAGACTGACAGCAATGTGCTCAACCCTGTGTCAGCAATGAGAAGGAAGAAAGTGAAGCAGGGTACCTTTTAGAAGCTGTGATGGTTGATATTGTACATGGATATTGATACAAGAAAAGAGTTAATAAGTGGGCGGGGGAGCAAGAAAATGAGAAAATACATGCAGTGAATCACGTGCTTTTGAATTACTGAGAATGAAACAAAAGAAGGCACAAGTCTAAATTAAACTGCACAAACCACAGCAAGAGAATAATAGAGCTATTGTGACAGTGAAAAAGAACAAGAAGAAAACACAAGTGTCCAGAGCAAAGCTTGTTCCATGAAAGCACTTTAGAGAGCTTGCTGGATATTTTAAGAGCCAATGTAGGGTGTCACTGAGCCAACAATCAAGTAATCACCATGACTAACAAAATGCCAAGAGAATGTCAAGAGAACAGAATGACAGCTTGGTCACTGAAGCCTTGTGCTGGCATCTCCTAAATAGGAGAACAGTCACGCTAGATCAAAGGTCCAGGCAGTACAGACTGTGTCTTGATAAAGCTTTGAATCAGGGTGTGATGATGATGATGATGAGGAGGAGGAGGAGGATGACGACATAGTCTGTTTGCTCCTTTCTCAAGCAATCAGAGGCCCTAATCTATCATACTCTCTCATGGTCACTGATAAACCTGCTCTCCATTCATTTTAAAGTTTACGAAGCAGTTGATTATCAGCGTGCAGCAATTCCTCCACAAATACACATTATGTCAACAATTACTTCATTTTATTTGTTCTGAATATCCTGCCTGTCCTTGTCTAAAAAAGAAGGCAGAAAATAAGGATTATGTTGACATATGCGTGGGAAAGGAAAATTCTTATTCACTTCTGTGATCAAATACACAACCCTCCATCTCTTCAAGCTGTTTGGGAAACAATGAGAAGAAGGTTGAGAGCATAGCTGCAGCAAAGATGTTTCCACTGAGAGCATTGGAGCTGCCACTTAGCAGTTGCTCGCTATGACAAAATACCTAGTTCCACTACACATGTATCCAATAGATACATTATCATATATTAACATTGCCACTTCCTGCTTTACACTTCAGAACTCTATGATGCTTGCG